ATCCTTGTACCAACCATTGCATACACAAGTGAGCCCATTGCTGCTTTGTATAGAACACCTTGCGTTTGACCTTCAACTTTAGCAAACTCTTTATCCATGAGCTTCATCAACTTCAAGTTTGCCTCCAACGGTGTTCTAACATACTTACACTCCTCTATATTGAATCGTTTCAATACTTCTTCAATATACTTGCTTTGGCTCATTATAATGGTCTTCTTAGCACGATCTTTTACAAACTCCACTCCTAAACAATAGTGAAGCTCTTCCAAATCACTCATTTCATATTTCTTTTCTAACTTTGCCTTCAACTAATCCATCATCTTTAATGTATTGGTTAAGATGATCAAATTATCAACATAGAGAATGACAATCAATATGAACTCATTTGATTGCATCACACATAAGGAATGATCAGCTTCACTCTTTACAAATCCTTCACTCACAAAGAATGTATCAATGTGTTGGTACAATGCCCTTGGTGATTGCTTTAGCCCATACAAGGATTTCTTTAACTTACAAACAAGGTGTTGTTTGCCTTCTTCAACAAATCCTTGAGGTTGATCCATGTAGATGTCTTCTTTCAAACTTCCATTCAAGAAAGCCATCTTCACATCCATTTGATGCATCTCCAAATCTATTGCTACTCCAATTACCACAATGATTTTAATAGTGGTGAATTTGGCTACGGGAGTAAATGTCTCAATGAAATCTACATCAACAACTTGTGAATAGCCTTTGGCAACCAATCTAGACTTGTATCTCACAATATTACCCATTGCATCCCTTTTGGTTTTAAACACCCACTTACAACCAATTGAAGATCGATTTGGTGGAAGTTGAGTCAATTCCCATGTTCCATTGTCCATGAGTGATTTGTATTCTTCTTCCATAGCATTCTCCCACTTCAACGCATTTGTGGATTTTATTGCATCATATAAACTCAACGGATCAACAAGAAGTGAAATATTGGCATGTTCTACACTTACTTGAGGAAAGATGTGGTCCTTCCACCATTCACCACGTGGTTTTCTTTCTCTCAAAAGATATCTACTTTCATTTGAAGAAGACTCTTCTTCTTGCATTCCATCCTTCTACCTCAATGCTTGTCTTTTTTTATTCAAAAGTTGATATTCTTCATCATCGTCATCACCTTCAATATCTTCATTGTCTTCATTGTTGGTTCTAGCAATTGAAGGCACACTATGATATAGCTTCTTTGGCACTTGATCTTGACTTCTATTTCCTCCATCCTCATTGTCATCATCATCTTCTCCTTCTTCTTCTTTCTTTGCTAAACTTGAAGATGTGTCCATAAACAAACCTTTAGTCTCACTTGAACACTCTTCTAAGTGCTCAAAAGCACTCTTATGTTCCAAAAACTCTACATCAAAACTCTACATCACGACTTTTGATGATCTTTTTGGTTTCTAAACACATTAGTCTATATGCTTTGGTACATTCACAATATCCAACAAATACACATTTTATACCTTTTGCATCAAGTTTGGACCTCATACAATTTGGTACCTTTGCATAAGCAATGCATCCAAAAAAATTCATGTGTGAAACACAAGGTTTCTTCCCACTCCAAGCTTCTTGTGGAGTTATTGATGTAAGTGCACTTGTAGGGCACCTATTCTTTGTGTACGCAGCATTTACCACAACTTCTGCCCAATATTCATGCCAAAGGTTTTGTATATGAAGCATACTCCTTACCATCTCTACAATGGTATAATTTGCTCTTTCTGCAACTTTATTTTCTTATGGAGTATAAGGAGTAGAAGTTTGTCTTGCAATATTTTGCAATCCGTTCTCAAGACTTTGATTTTGCACTTACATTGTTTCTCTACAAGAGCCTCAAATTCCTTAAACTTTGAGAAACATTCATTCTTTGCTTTAATGATGTAAATCCACACCTTTCTTCAGAAATCATCAATGAATGTAACAAAATACCTTGCTCCTCCAATTGATGGTATCTTTAGTGGTCTACAAACATTTAAGTGCACAATCTCCAACAATTTTGTTGCACGAGTTGCAACTCCACTTGAAAATGAAGCCCTTTGTTGTTTACCTTGTATACATCCTTCGCAAGTAAGTCTCATGGGATTGTGGCTGAATTGACTAAGATCTAAGCCACTTACCATGGATTGGAGCTCGTTCATGTATTTGGCATTCAAATAACTAAGTCATTGATGCCAAATTTCAAACTTGTCTTGATCTTGTGAAAAATTAGCAAATGCCGCTACTTCAACTCTATTCACCTTTTTGTAATTGATGAAGTAGAAATTTCCATCTCTAAGGCCATTCGCAACATGTTGGCCATCCAATGTCTTGACAAAACATCCATTCATGTCAAATTAAACCTTACAACCATGTGATACAAGTTTGCTCACCAAAAGGAGGTTCTTCTTCATTTTTGGCACATGTAAGACTTCTTTCAATCTGATCCTCTTCATTTGGTCCTTCATAACAATCTCCACTACAATAGAGCCAATTCGAATGGCTTGTATCATGTCATTGTCTCCCAACCACACTTTTGTTGCTGAAATTTCTTCATAAGTGTCAAATGAACACTTGTATGGTATCATGTGCTTAGTAGCACCTGAATCTATAATCCACTTTGACATGGTAGCCATGGAGGCTCCTTCCTTTGCCATAAAAGCATATTCATCTCCACCAAAATTATCATTAGCATTGTTTGCATTTTTCCTATCTCCTTTCTTGGCCTTGTAGCAATTTCTAGCGAAATGACCTAGTTTCCCACAAATATAGCAATTCTTCATATTGCTTTTTGAATTATCACGTTGGTGAGAATAGCTACCTTTGCCTTGTCTTGAAAATAAAGCCGAATCATCACTTGCAAGTTTTTTTTTTTTTTTTTTTCTTAATCATTTCATGGGCAAGTCTTGATGTGACATAGTTCATGGTAAACTCTTTCATGTTGATGGACTCCAATGCCACAATGAGGTAGTTGTAAGATTCGGAAAGGCTCATGAGAAATTTTAACACAATATTCTTATCATCAACTGATTTGTCAACAGCTGCTAATTGGTTAACAAGTACTTTTATCTTATTAACATGAGCCATGAGATCATCTCCTTCTTCCATCTTTATTGTCAAGTATTTCCTCCTTGTCCAAAGGATGTTGGCAAAGTTTCTACTCTCATAGATGTTGCAAAGAGTCTTTCATGCTCCCGCTAGTTCATTGCAAGCTATAACATGTGAAAAGTTGGCATCATCAAGGTTTATTGCAATCATCCCAAAAGCCTTTCTTTCATGATGTTTGTACTCTTTCTTCACCTTGATATCAACATTGTCACTTGAAGGGTCTTCACTTTCATCAATAGTGTTCCAAAGGTCCAATGAAGTCAATAAAAGCTCCATTTTTTTCTTCCAATGGTAAAAGTTGTCACCCCTAAACTTTTCAATCACTTCAAGTTCTCACCCTCACTTGAAGCCATGTCTAAAGAAGGGATGTGTGAAAGAAAATCAAGAAAAGAAGATATAGAACTCTCAAAATCAATAAGAAGGTGTTGCTACCTTAAAAATCCAGAATACCCTCTTTGTAAGTAAATAAGCGATTTCACTCTTGTATCACTCTCAACTTCACATATAAAGACTGCTCACAAGTCTTATACTCTATCTGAACCTCTTGTATTAGCTTTGCCACTCTTCAATCATCCCTCTTTTCTCACAAAATACTTTTAACCTCATAAAAAAAAACTTCTTGTGAAAATAGAATAATCTCTTAAGAATTAAGTACATAAAAGCACAAAGTTAGAACACCAATGATAAATCTCAGCAAAGAAATATAACACTAGAATTCTAAAACATCATTATACGGAGTCTAACAACAATAAAGATTATAAGTGCACTTACCAATAAATAAGAGCAAAATTACATCAACAACTAGATGCATAAGAAGGATTAAAAGATAACAAATTCAAACTTTAGCAATAACCATAAAATCTACTCCTTACAACAAGAAAGACTTCAAAGTACTTCAAAACTCACAAGTAAAGGTGAGTGGACCTATAACCTATTAAAAAAACAAGTACTTAGAAGACACAACACTTAGCATCAACAAGGTTGCACACAAAGAGAGTATGGAGTAAGATATCTCTCACTTCTAACACCCATTACTTATAGATAGTAGTTGTTGCCCTAAAAGACAACGTCCACTTTTTGACTTTTACATACATGGCCCTAAGATCCTTTTGGCATCTCATGAATCCTAAGAGTATCCTATATCCAATATTAATTATTCTTACGTCTTACATACATTTTCTTGGGATCTTTTGGCATCTCACGAACTTCGAGGGTATCCTATGACACATACTAATGACTCATACTTAGTCTTTGGATATTTCTTTATTAATACTTTATCCTTTTGATTTTGACTCTTGGTCAATGACTTCGTCTTATATCCATTGGATGCCCTTACCATATACCAAGAGTCAAACCTTTGACCATTAGCAACTTATTTAAGGTAATATCTTATACAAGGTAACATTTTCTACTTTTACTTTAACATATGAATATCCTTCAAATCTTAGAAGAAGCTTCGATATCAAATACTATAGAATTAACTTATTTTTATTTACTTTTACTTACTTCTACTTATTTATATATGTAATTACTAGCTTACATGAGTATGTCTATGATAGCATTTGGCTATGGCTAGATATTAACAATTGACAGAAAAAATAAGACAAATGACCAACAAGAAGTAGAGAGACTTGAAGAAGATTAAAGCAATACATTCCTCTTTAGATTAGAGAGACATCAAGAAATGTCCAATTTCCATAGCAAGGTATTAATAAAGATTTATTTATTGGAATTTTACAAACTTTACAAGGAATAATATCTTTAAGATAAAAGATATTTTAAAAATAAAAAACTAAATAATAATTAAAATATACACAAAATATATTATTTCAAATGATAAGTAGCCTTAAACACTACAAAATATTAATAATAATATTAAAAAAAAATAATGACATTGAAAAATTTTTGAATCTTGAGAATTGAATATAAACCCAAATTTTAAAGATCAAGAAGTTGGAAGACATTTTCATATACTACCTATACATTCTATTCATATGTATTATTTATATTCTCAACTACATAAGATCTCACTAATTTTTCAAATGCACTTTTATGTATATATATATATATATATATATATTGACTTACACAAGTTAAGATAAAACACTCAATGAAAAAGAACCGAAGGAAAGAGCAAATGACAAGACTAAATCTTCTAGGTAGACTAGATCGGCTATTGAGCCATCGACCGCAAGCCGCCTTGTTATCTCCGGGTAAGGGTTTCTGCATGCATACTCTCAGACGTGCGACTCATTACTAGATCACATGCAGCGAGCGATGTTGCCACGATGTTAGACGCATTGCTAGCTGCAAGGAGGAAGCGGCGGGTTGCACAGCCCCTCATTTCCAGATGGACCCGTGGACGAGTCGTTGAAGGACGACGCTGGAAATCGGCTCAAGCATCTGGGAATTGGCCCCGTGAAGACGTTGCCGCTCAGCTTCAAAATCGTCAGAGTCGATTTGCACAGCTCAACCGGCAAAGTGCCGTTCAGATCGTTGTTGGTGAGATCTAGATACTGCAATGGCCAAGCCTTCAATAGGGCGACTGGCAATGGCCCCGCCACCAGCACATCTAGTGTCAGGTTGCTCAGTTTTGTCAACTTGACCCAGGTCGATGAGAGAGTGGCGCCTCCGGAATAGATTGTTCGCAGGTCAAGCTTCTTCAGCTGTGTAAGATTGCCGATGGGTGCACCATAGACCCCGCCGTTTGCTTTCTGGTACACCGGCCCCGGTTTGTATTCCAGGCCCTTCCCCATGATCAGCGACGTGATGCGGCCCGCGCTGTCGCACGTCGTCATCCTGTACTGTCTGGTTTGCAGCCATGTGCAGCAATCCGGGTTTGTGTCCCAGTCCGAAAGTGTTCCATACGGGTCAGCTAATTCTGCCAGCATGAGAGGGTTACAGGTTAGGAGTTTGACTTCATTTGTAGTTTTTTTTCAGTAATTCATCATGAGTTGCGTGAATTGACGTGGCGAACACAGCTCAATTTCTCTCACTGGGTCTAGGAATAATGAGAAGCTCACATTCGAAGAGAGATTATTACCTTGTTTCCACGTCAGGAGAGCATTTCGATCTCTTGCGTCGCAGATTGGAGCCGCTGCAATGCAATGACCTAGGAATAATATCGTCGTCACGAAGAGGCTCTGGACTCTCGCAACGGCCATCGCCATGCCTGCAATCAAATTTGAGTACACATGTAAGAAGTCCCTCCTTTCAAAGTCATCTGAGACAAAATGCGCACAAACAGATCTGTTTGCTGCTGAAGACTGCAAATTAGAAACGAGCAGCATAGAGAAGGATGTCCTGTGACATAAACCCAGGTAATCTGGATCACACCTTGCTAATCCGAAAACAATTGTGTTTGCCCAAAAATCACACGCAGTTCACGAACTAAGTACAAAGTAGGGAGCTGCTGATGAGATGTACTATGTCACCGAGGCTTGTAGGGACACAACGCAGTGAAACTGGTCAATGAGATAAACAATTGCTCTGACATATTATAGATTTTGCAGTTTCAATGCATCAAAGCTATTCCCCTTGTCTTATCGTTGACTCAGCTGTAGGCGACTGCGGTGGATCGGTGGGGCCACTCTTATTTTCCAACCCATAGCTGCCTGCCAGCAATGTAAGATCATGTTGAACGGCAAAAAGGTCGTGTAATCTTTTGAAGACAGAGACATGGCGTAGGAGGGGGCCAATGGCAGAAAACATCACCGATCTTGTCAATATCATTGGGATATTGTAAGCACCCCACGAGCAGTGGGTCCCTATTCTCCTGAAGGCCCAGAAGTCTATGCTGCCGTTGCGGAGCGCCACGCAATGTGGGACTGACTTCCTGTGGTCACAAGAGAGTTGACCCGATTGGGCTTTCAGCTTCTACTGACAACTGTGGCGATTAAAAGTAATACTTTTCATGAGAACCTTCAGTCGTTGAAAATAAGCTCCAATTAGTCACGTAAAAGATCGTGTTGCTGATGTAACAAGTGTCTTCCGGATATCAACTAGGGAGTTCCATGTGCCGTAAGCCCTAGATCCCAAATGTGTAGCCCCAAATCCCACTCTTGAAACCCTAGAACCTCTGAAACCCTAAATCTCCTTCAATATTAGAGCACGTTGAGCCTCAATGTGGTATTACATGTGTTGTTCGCGTCGCGATTGTTTTTTCAGCCGACAGGCCCTTGCTAGGCGATACCGCTGTGGGTGTCAGCATTGGACTGATATCAGTAGAGAGGTAGGCACTGGTGATGGATTCCTGAAGTCGTAACCCGCATTCTCACATTTGCTTTGTATTCTCCTGCCAACCTTGAGCTGTATAGTCTCCCCTGGGTTGTGGACACTCTCAGCGATAAAAGTATGCGGCTGTCAATCGGGATCACGTCTTTCCGGTTTTTGGTAGACATGGAGGTCCTTAGCCAACTGGCGTTCAGGTTTTGTATTCTGTGAACCTATTCAGGGTTATGTCAGGTCAATGTCGCGTTCAGAAACCTAGTTTCCGCACTAATGGCAAAGACCGTTACAACCCTGAAACATTAACGTCTAGGGGTGTTCTACGAGTGCGAGCTGTTTTGGCTTTGCATTCTATGAATACATCTAGTTCTACCCATCGTTGCTCGGGGTTGAGTTCAATTCCACCTTGAGTTCCATATGGGTTGCAAATCTTTTCACTGATGAAGTCACGTACCTGTTAAATAAGTTCTACTGTGGTTTCTCGGCATTTGTTTCTGCCGTGCGGTGTTTTAGTTCTGTCCAGGGATATGTCAGGTCAATGTTGTCTCCGAAATTGTATTTTGGTTCCGTGGCTGCGACCGTTTCAACCCTGGAATATTAATGTCTGAGAATGTTCTTGAAGTATGCGACTGTTTTGGTTATGTACCTCCTGAGTAGCCTTGGTAGTGCCCATCGTTGCTCGAAGCTGATTTCAGTTCATCCTTTCAATGTCTTCTCATAATACATATCTGTACTCAGACGTGCCCCTGTGTGTTAACTTCATTAACATTGTACACAACATGTACATAGACCTCTGCAGCTCCTTAATCTCGAATGGTCTATCAATCCTTTGCCGTTGTTGCCACTGAACACAACGCCATTAAGAAATACTACATGACAAGTCTTTTTGGAATCTTCAGAACACATTATCAGATGTTGAAGTGAACGTTTTCAATACCCGCATCTTTGCTACCTTCTCCCTGACAGTTGCGGCTAATTCTTTTAATGTGTCTTAACGGCGAGTGTCCCCTTAATCCATGCCTACAGTGATACATGCTGAACACGTACTGGATAATTAGAGTATGAGACATTACGAACATTTTCTACACTTTGACAACCCCTAATACCATTGTAACCATACCAACATTCAGCCACTTGGTCCTCTGATTTTACTCCAAATAATGCTTTGAATAAGAAATTTGGATGAGAAACTCGTCTCCATATCATTGCTTCCCAAAATCTTGGATGAAAATAATGTTCTGAAATTTCATCTCAGTTTGACTATGAATGACGAAATGTGTTCTCCAGATTATCATCTCTATATTGAAGAACAAATACCTGCTTTTCAATAGAATCATAATATGAATTTGTAGTGGGTGGAAATTTTATGCAACCCTGTTTTAGTACCATCACCAAACAAGTAAAAGAAATTTGGATTTCACTTATTAAATTTTTGGTTTAGCCCAAATACTGAATTAAATCAACAATATAAATATCTTGTATCCAGAAGCTCTAATACTGATATATAATAGATTGTAGTTTCATAGTCTAACTGAGATGAATAAGCGTATTCATAAATTGTAACAAACAAAACATGAATTGATATACTCAGTAATAGATATAGTCAAGTAATAGGAAAACGTAATTTCTGAAACTACTTCTTTGACTCAAAGTCAACCCCATGCAATTGCTTTACGATAAAAATGAACACTGCACTGGGAGCCATCCTGTCGGTAGAAAACATAGATTTGATTCACTTATTCAAAAGGCTAGTCTTCTTAACTCTCGTCATCGACCTCGCATTGACCTGCGTGTCATCTTTCGTTGGACTGCGAGATCTTACCAAAGAATATGGAGGGCACAATTAATGAAGTGGTTAGGAATTCGTCGAAATCCGCGACAGCAAACTAGCTTCATGAAAATGGATAAGGAACAGGAAGTTAACTACCCATCTCCCGAATGGTGTTCATGTCTTCGTGTTTTGAGCCTGGAGCGGAGCTGGAAATGAGAAACACCTTTCCCGCGAACAAAAGATTCTGTAGGTATAGGAGGTGAGAGAACTCTTCTATCGAAACTCCACAGCCCGAAGGGCCACTTCGATGAAGCCTTGGCCGGAACAGCATTTTGTATCATTTCAGCTAAGGTCGATAGCATTGCGCTGTTCGTGGCCAGAAGCGAGCTCCCGACACGGTCGTAACGAGGCGATTCAGCAACTGACGCGCCTTGCTTTACACGAAGGTTCAATTTCTTAAAGCACATGTTAAGTCCAGGAGTGAGGCTTCTCATAGACGGATTTTTCGAGTGCAGACAGTCTCAGAGCCAAACCCAGCACTGACGAAAGTCAATCAGGTTAGCAAGTAAGTTCAAAACTCCACTCGACGTGTACATAAATTGACGTCCAAAAGAAACAGTTAGTCTTGCGGGCATTTTTCCATGTGCCAAGCAATGCTAGATAAAAGTTACTTCCTCACAGTATGTTGATACACTAGATAAAGACTTCAACTTGGCATTGGGACGATGTCATCCGAAAATTATCAGCGACCTGCCAAAATTTGGAGAAAACGGATACAACTAGAAAAGTAATACACTACGCTGAGACGATTTCTCCAAGTTACAATTAGAAAAACTAAGACGTACATGTACATACAACTTGCCAAGTGGAAATTCTATCAGGTAAAGCTAGTTTATTGAAAAAAAAGAAAAAAAGAAAAAAGATTGAAGTACTTTGCAACAGTAAAATACAAGAGTTACCAAGGATTCATAGGACTAACTAACAACAGCAGCTGTGATTTCTGCTATGCAATTATCTTACATCACTACTTGCAAAAGTCATCAATTATATTCGGGAATCGAATCAGATTGTGAACAAAAATAAATTAAAATGATGTGGCAACTCGAAGGAATAAAGGCATTTGAATTAATTTACAATAAAAAAAAACTTCTAGATCCAAATGAATAGTATCCAAACTCAATTTTATCTTTTAAGGAGTGCATTCAAACTCCAATTTTATACAATCGTTAGTAACTAGTAATGATATTGCGTTGATAAATTGAATGACGTATTTCCATGCTGACAGAAATAGGACAAAACATGGTAGTTCTCTAGAATGTGGTCAGTGGCCCCTTCTATCTTGCAGCTCATGCGGACCTTGAAAAATCAGGACTGCGCACAAGACTAGATCCAAGTAATGGTTCGTGAAGGCCCTTATCTGTCACCTTCTTAGTATGGTGGCCATGTCTATCTGCATGCATGTGTGACATAGCATCCACCCTTCCTTTCTGCACTGCATCCTGTGCTTGCTTTGAGAGCCCCATTTGCTGTCCATTCAGGAGAAAACATATTAGATATGATATCACGGTTCTAGTAATACAGCAAATCCTCCGCAGAGGTGTAAACCATCAAAAAACCAAAATTTTGGAAGAAAGGCTTGGCAGTAAACTCACAATGTTAGGCACTGAGGCCCGGCGGCCAACAGACCCGCATTTACTCAGTTGTGCTGCAGCAGCAGCAACTCGAATCCTGAAGACGCATAGGAAAACTAAATCAGGGCACAAATAAAAAAACATGAGAACATGAGAATTTTATTTGATGAAGCACAAAGGGTTCTTGGTCAACATTTGTTAGTAATAAGTAGGTGCCGTCAACCAGCAACAAGAATTTCCATAAACCATAACCTGTGTTCAACTACAAACATTTCTTGTAATGCCTTCAAGATAAGATGAAAACAATCAATTTTGGAGGGCAATCAGATATAGCAAGCAAGATGGTCTCCACCTCTTATGGACGTCTATGTACTCGTCTGTCTCGTCCACAATTTCCTCCTGAGAATCCAACGAAAAAGCAATGTGCCGCAGTCAGTACAACTGCTCAATGATAAATAGGGGGAACCCAAGGTACGAGGGACGTGCTTGTTGTTGCTTGATTGCTAGCATACTAACAAAGAAGAAATCGTATTTAAAAACATATCAAGGCAGTTCTACTTTCGAGAAAGAACAGATGTCACCAACAATTTTCAATTGTGAATTAATCCTTCTTAAAAGAGAAAATCCAAGGCACCTGCAGAAGCTCTTCGATTACGTCCTCCATGGTGATGATGCCAATTACATCGCCATCCTCTACGTCGTGTCTATGCTTTTCGCCAGCATCTCCATTACAATCGCAATCAGATGTAGGAGTGCTTGGCTCTTCACCATTAGAGTGAGCATGCGCCTTTTCGTCAGCTCTCTCAATATCAGTTTCAGCAGATTGGTATTCCTTGACGCCTTTCCTGTCTTCTCTGTGATGCCCAAAGCTGGCGCGCTTAGTGAATTTTCTCTTTCTCGGTTTAACTGCCACTACAGCAGCCATATGACTACCTCCTTTCTGAAATTCATTCAGAATGTCATATAATGGCATGTCCTCTGGCACCCTGTTTCCAGCACCCTCATCATCAGTCTCCGCAGGATGTTCCGTAAACCTTAAAACTGAGTACCCGAAACCTAATAATGTGAATTAGAAGAAATGGGTCCAGAAGAAATAGAGAATCAGACGACTTTCGATTCTAACTACACGCATTCGTTGGCGAGAGAGCAACTTCTTTCAATCAAGAGGATGAAACTGAATGTACTGTGCCATCTCAAGTCATTAACTCAACTTGCCCGCTACCTTAGGATGTTAGCACAAAAAAAATGACTCAGCAAAAAGAGATGATGGATACGAACGTCTACTAAAGACCAGCTTCAGAGCGAGAAACATACTTGGGTATTCTTCGAATAGAAACAGCACTAACGGGAGTGTTATCCTCGGCACGAACGGTCAGCAGATTTTTTACCTGAACATAAATAATGTAAGCAAGTGCTCGAGAAAGTAACCCTTGCTACTAATGCGGTGAACATTCAACAGAGAGAATTAAGATACGGTGGTATTTATCTCAAAATTAGCATATAATTTACAGACCACATGCCTCAACTTGGGAAAAAAAGACGGAAGATATAAATAGAGAAAAGCTTGAGAAAATGAACAACTCACCAGCAACAAGCCAACTATATTCTGAGGACCACCAGAGTAAACAGGTACACGGCTGTGTCCTCGTGCCATGATTTTCCCCAAAGTTTCCCTGTGAACAAGCCCTACTTAGATCATGTGATCAATACAAACAATATATGCCTACATAGCTTGTAATGATGTTAATAAGTCCTCACCAGTCTAAGTTGGAATTTACGTCCAGTGAAAATGTCGACTCAATTGGGGTCATCGCCTGAAGTGCAGTCTGTAAAAATATATGGCCACGTTCAGATTACATACTCTTTCTACGACAGCAGATTAGTGAAAAAAAAGCAGAAATGAACATCCACAGAACCCAAAATCACATAGTGTACCAATAAGTTAAAATATTTGCATTGGTCGAAGTCGTAATCCAACTCCTAAACTCATGAATTGGGCTATTGAAGAGCTCACCTTCCCAGTCAAGTCCAAAGCTCCAGCGATGATTGTTGTCTCGTCAAGGGTTAGGTACCCTCCAGCCTAACATTAAAAAACAGTGGAGAAAAGCATTTAGATCGACGATGACTGCAATTTTTTATGTACAGATAAAGCCTTAAAATTAAGGAACGCTTAAGTTGAGTTACAGTACACACGTTGAGATTGCCAAATAGACCATAGACCCAAAATCTTAAGACGTGACTGCTACTCCAATTGATTAATAAAATGCGTATTCTGACAATCAAACATTTTCTTATTTGAGGTACAGGGAAGACAAGAAAGGATTGTTTAAGCAAAAGGCGAGAAAAATCTATTTTAAAACAGAAACACAAAGGTCCTCAATCAACGATATTGAAAACATATTTTAAAGCATGTGATCCCAATTGAGAGTACAAGAACAATTTTCATATGACCAGAAATCCTTACATCCATTCCGTGGATTGAAACGAGTGCCTTCAGCTGTGCACGCCTGAACAAAGCTGACTCATCATGTCCGAGTACGTAGTCCAACAACTGTAGAGTACACAGATCAGAGAGTAAAGGCGGCACGTAAGCATGAGAGATGAGCAAGTAATCTCCTTCAGTATGACATGAAACTGTTCCGAGAACCCCGTTGAAGAACTTCGAAGCATAAATATAATTCTATCATACGATTCCAAAAATTTATTAGACTGTACGACTCTTAAGTGATAATTATAGGTTGAACAAAATTCAAAACTAACCCGTCCAATAGGATACGCAATTGGCCAACAAATGACCATCATTATGTTCACCAACCAGACCATGTTTGCGCCCACGGCTAGCCCATATCGGGAGCAAATGGCTTGAGGCATGACCTGAAGGAGCAAGCGTTCGATTCACATTTCAACATCAATGAAGGAATGACGATAAACATGTCTAACTGTGGATGCTTTGGTTTAAAAAAAAAAACACCGGTAGTTAACAGCTAATGCCCACGATTGGTGAAAGCTTATCATATGTATATAAAGAAAAGTTGATCAAGCTCAATAAAAAACCAACCTCGCCAAACGCAAGTACAAATGTGACTGAAAGAATCACGGCCACCCACTCGTTGAACATCTTGTCGAGGAAGATCGGAAGAGCCTGCACGAAAATTCCCAGATCATGAAGGAAAACCATCTGCGATCGTGTTGTTAGCTTAATCCACTTCAAAACTTTCCAGAACTCAGAACCGTGAGTTGGAAAACATTGAATGTCACAACCTGAACAACATTGAATGGATAAGTCAATCCTAAAATGGTGGATTATTGCTCACATGTACAACCTCTCGAATTGTGATTCACTAGCCTGAAACAAAAGTCCTAAATTCGCTACGATATATGTAATTACAGCAAGCCTTGTGACCTATCAGGACTTCGTGCTAACTGCTATTCCCCTGTGAGCCATTCGTCGTGTAGGGCGATGGAGAAACACAAGAGCAGAACGTAACAGACCTCCATTGCCGCGGCGTTGCAGAGAAGAAGTGTGACCAAGAGTTGGTGCTGCTTCGTAACAACTGGCATTATAGCGGCTGCTTGCAGGAGGAATGAAAAATTTGCACATTACTTTGGATGGCAGAAGATTGATTGAAAAAAAATACATATTCATCAAAGTTCAAATAAACCAAAGATATATAGATCCTGTTGTAATGAATTGAATCTAAGAATCAGAAACCACTCAGCTTAATGCACTCTGTCGGACACAGCCAATTTATAAGCGCTAAGAATTCATCACTGGCCTTATCTGTGTAGAGTTAAGGACGAGAAATAGTGAACCACCTGCTTGTTTTCTCTCAACAGGAGTGCCGCTTCTTTGTAAAACCTCCAAGTCCATAAGACCCAGAGACATGAGGCCAAGGGTTAAACCAGACATAATGCCCGCAAAGCACACCAGGAACACGGATATGCCACCATAGATAAACCACCACAGCGACCCCATCTCCACGGGCACTCCACTTCCAAATCCCATCTTCGAATGCAATGTTCCCATCATCGTCACCGCCAGCATTGTCATCCTTTTCACCAATGTGATCTCCATACTGGCGAGCTCAATAACCCGCCGTCAACTTCAATCCCCTCCCCAAACCCTACAAAAACTAATCACAGCAAAACCTCCTCCATTCTTAAATTCCGCGAAACTAGCAGAAACTCTTCACCCTATAATGTATCCCGCAAAACGCCTCCTCGGAAATCCTACGAATCCAAAATGTCCAGAACCAAGCCACCACTCCCCCTTCTTCTAGTGGCTCTGGAATACGGGAAGAAAAAACAACAGACAATCAGGTCAATCACCACAAACTTCGCATAAATTAGACAACACAAGCTTCGCTTTATTCAACAATCAGAAACTCAAGTCTCGACAACCGATCCTTAATACGGACCACGAGGCATAAATTAGAGAGAAACCAGACCTCCGGAATCCACAACTCAAACAAACAAACAAAAACACGCAGCTCATGCGAGCTTAACTGCAACAACAATAACAACAGCAGCAACTCGAATCCTGCCCTGTAAATAGCCCGTGACGGGTTGATTGAATGCACATCTATCTCGAATTTTCACTCAAGAAACCGAACCTCGACATTCTTAAGAAAATTGAAACACAATGCAAGCAAAGAGAAGCGACCACAATGCACCTTAACGAGCCGGGATATGGAAAATTCACGGCGAGGAAAGTTTGCGACGGTGGCTCAGGGCTCGCAAAGTTCATCCACGAAGGAGAGCGAGAGAAGGCATCCTGCTAAGGGGAGTGGCACGTGTATGAATGAAAATTCGAGCTCGTTGATAGATGAAACTCAGTTATGTTCGTTCCCCTTTCTTCATATATCCCTTTTGTTTTGTTTTTTTTTTTTTTTTTAATTTATTTCCTTCGTGGAATAACGTTCATAAAATAATCACAATGTTGTATGTAGCTGAGTAATTAATAATGGGATTCTTGTCGGCATTTTTTGTCTACAGTATTTAGCCTTGAGATATACTGATGATGATAGTAATGACACTTTCTAATATGACGTATTATGCGTGGACCGGTGTATATACATGTAATTATTTAGCTTTTTTTTAAAAAAAATTATGTGATTCGTTTTTTTCTTCTTATCCTGTTTTAATTCTCGAATAAGTTAAAAGCAGTCGACTTATAATTATTATGGGTCCTTTGATTTTTTTTGTGCTATGTGTTTATTTAGTCGAGGAAGTGCATTCAGTGAAGGAATCGGGTATTCAAATAAATGTGATATTCTTTTTGATATTTAGGCAAGGTGATAGTTTTTAATCTAATATACACATATTTACAAATATGTATGTGTACGAGATTGGGTTATATTATTGGTTTCGTCTACCACATAGGAACCCATTTATTAATTAATAAAAACAACGAATGGTTTAATTCCAAAAAATCACACTTATTCTATGCAGAGTAGCATCGATTGTTTTCGGATATTTCAAATAACCCATTCCCGTTTATATCAACAAAGTATGCAAATCCATATTTCACTTAGCATACAATTGTATCTGGTTTTCAAAACATATCTCAATGTGTGTGTTTATAACATACATACATACATACATACATATAAATGAATACATATGTTTTATTTCGTGGCTGGGTGTAAAATATCTTTCTAGAAGTTCGATATGTTGAAGGTTCACGGGGCGTAAAATAAGATCGGCAGTTGTTCATGGCATCTATTTATCTCCCCTCGTGAGGAGGAATTCTCGTCTAATTAGGGTTATAGTGGGGAAAGGATTCTGGACAGGGAACATTCACTGACAAGTGTCAGGACTAGGGTCTAATCTAATGAACATGTGTTTGGAATATCTGGAATCCAGCGTCAACGGGATGGATGAATGTGTTCGGGAACGAGAAATATCGAAGACGTAATCTAGACGGATGAAGACGACGAGCTTCAGTCAAAATGAGCGGCATTCTAGAAAGAGTGAATTTATTCATACGTTCATGGATGAATGAGTGTCGCCTGTTGGGCTTCGGGGGTCAACATGACATAGAAGGGTAGAGAGCTCGTAGGGTTCTAGCAAGTTTTGTGTTTTTTCACGTCGTTCGATTTGTGTTGCAGATAATTTGTTGGCTATGGCGAGGTCGCTGCGCTCTCTTGCCCGCTTGGCCGGCGCTGCCCGCGTCTTCCAAAACGGTCTTATCCAACATCCTGTGCCGTTAGCGCCGCTGAGTTCGTCGACGCAGCTGGAAGCTTCTTTTGCCCGTTCTGGCGCCTCAGTCCGGTTCATGAGCGACGATCACACAGCCAAGTGGATGCAGGTTCGTTTTTTGTGCTAGTTTTCGAGACGTCGGGTAGGATTCAAGGCAGTGATGGTCGTTCAGTTTTTTGTCTTTTTCTTTTTCTTCTGGGGTTTAGTCCGTTGGAAAGCAGAGGGGTTTCGAATTATCCTAGTTTAGCATTGTAATGAGACGGTGAATCGGTCTTTGATTTTTTCATTCCTGCCTCTTGTCTTAGTCGGTACTTGTTATGGAAATGGTGTGACGGATGTGGATCTTGTTCACTGAAGTTCAACCCATAGGAATCGTCTGTAGGGTTTTTTGCCCTAATTTCCCGTAGTTCTTGCGGGGGTCATGGGAGAGCGGTGATAATAGCCTCTCTTATTAGGAACTATCTCATGGATTTGGACGCTCGTATGAGCAATGGCATAGTGAATTCTGTATGTCCAATTGCACTTCTTCGGATAATATTGTATATCAATGCGCACTAGTTGGACGGGTGGTTTGAAAATTACGACGTAGTAGTTTCATTACTCTGGAAAGGGCAGAAAATCACACCCTTCGTTAGGCTTTTGTGGTATTCCGATTCTTTGTTTTTCGCTATTTAGAATTTGGAGTTTGATCGTAAGGATCATTTTTTGTATTTGTGAAGACATGCCTTTCTTTGCCCCTCTGTTAGAGATGCTTCTCATCCATAACTTCGTAAAACGTGTAGCAGTCATTTACCTTTTGTTTGATAACGCAAGGGTTTGAACTACATATGGGAGATTTAGTTCTACAGGTGCAGGTCAAGCCCTAACCTAAGTCTGCTTATTTGTTTGAAATCAGAATACCCAAAGCAAAAAGTCGCCCATGGAGTTGATTAATGAAGTACCTCCAATCAAAGTTGATGCTCGCGTTGCTGCTTGTGAAGGAGGTATATCTACTTCGCATTTACTTGATTTTATGCTTTTGTGTTAATTATTCCCAGTTTGGTTTTGATGTGATTCCAAGTGAGTTAGCAGTAAGTGAGATTTAATTTCAGCTGTGTGATTCAATACTGAAGTTTTAGTAAGTGAATGTCTTATTTGTGATTTTCTGTTTTTTGTACAGGGACGGATCCTGCTTTGGGTCACCCGATAGAGTACATATGCCTAGATGGGAAAGGTCCACACGTGTGCAAGTACTGTGGTCTTAGATATTATCAAGGGAATGTCCATGGGCACCATTGACATTGAGAACATTTTCTTTTTCCGTTCATAATTTGTCACATCAATCATGCACTTGGTTTCTTTTTTACAATTTCAGTTGTCTGGGGGTTTTGACATGTAATGCGGCCCCTGTATGCAATCTGAAATGTGTAAACTGGTAAACTAGTTAAGAAAAAGTAAAGTGGGCATCGATTGCTGATTTTGCAACGTTAGGTGAAGCCCTCAGCATAGGTGGGGGAAATGGATCACTCACTTCTGTCACTGTCAGATTGGAGACTAACCTCCTGACATCGACTTCCTGAAAATGTGTATCATCTGTGGTTGTGCCTGCTCTCCTCTACACTCGGTCAATCACAGTTGGCAGATGTACAGGAACAGCAAAACAGCCAAAGGATTTCAAATTGAGTTCGTACACTCTTCGATGTCAGCTTACAATGGCCTGTGAAGTCGTTTTCAGCGACGAAAGGAAGATTATCCGGTCCCACACGCAGTAGTTAGTGCCCGCGTCTTGTACCACGTTGTTTACAGGTGTCGTGAGAACTGTGAATTCTTTTGATACAATTAAAGTTATTAACTAGCAGGTATCTTTATCACGACACTCTGGCAGAATATTTTGTGCTTAGAGTAGAGACTTTGCGTCCAATTGTTGGATGCTATCTGAAGCAGTTGGAAGGATTTGCATTCTCGAGAAAGTATTTTTTATTCCGTGAGTCGTTGAAGCAGAGGTTTACCATGTGGTGCGGCCAGGTGCGCCTTGAGTCCTCGCGAGTTAGTTTTTTCCTATTATTGGATGCTTTTATTTCATGTGCACCTTTGAAATATCATTGTGGGATGTCGAAGCGATTTTGAAATGAATGTTAGTTGGGGATTTTAGCTGAAAGAATTCAGAAATTATCAGTTATTGATGTACACTTCCAATTGAACTCTACTAAGTTGGATGTTCGATCATAATTAACAGCTTTATCACAGGTTGAAGATTCAATCTCTGTCCTGGGATGCATTCTGATAACTCTGAGCATCCATCTTATTTTGATAATGTGTTGCCTCACTATTTCTAAACTGTACTGTATTCTATTCCGTGTGCTGTTGATGAGGGGAAACTTGTGAGAGGGATTCAGATTTCATTACTATTGACATTTCTACATTTTTTACATCAGAAGCTCACATGAGTGGTGAAGCATCTCTAACATTAGTAAGGACCATCGATTAGAAATGAAATTATACATGTTTCTCAAATAGGAAACTAATTTCAACAAAACCTCAGCAACAACTCGTATCAGCCGTAGTTAGCATTGATTGTTTTGCATGGAATGAAAATTAATAGAGAGCAATTGTAACAGTGACCCAATTTTAACTATATATGTGGAGGGGAATATAAATTTGAGTCAATTGAATCTTTAATGGACCGAGCTGCTCCTATGATTCAATCTCAATGACTACTTCCTTGATTTTGGAATAGGAAAGTCAAAATATTTATTTATTTAATTTCACCTTAATCACTTAATAAGTGTGAAAATATAGCAACCATGTCTTATGGCACAAGCAAGAGAGGAAGGAAGGGGTAGATGGTGACTCCATAGTGTGGGATAGAATTGCATATCCTATAGTGCTTCAAAATTAGAGGGAATATAAGGCAATGTTAGAGAGACCTAAAATCTCTTTCTTCAATAAAGATCTTAGGTTTATCTCTACTACTGTCTATTGAGTTCACTTGTTTTTCTATTCCCAAATTATAAAAGTAGTTACAAAGATTGAATTATTGGAATAAGGTGGATTGATTTAACATCCTTGCTCTCATACTAGAGTAATGCAATAATTAAAAACTTTTTGATTTTGTATACACTCAGGATGGTCTCTATTTTTATATTTTTATATTAATATTAATATACATTTGAGACAAGTAAGATGTGGCAATTATTTTGTGCATATGGAGTATTGATTTAAGAGCCACCAAACATACGGTTTTTTGTAGATATGCTTTTTAAAGGTATAAAGCCTTCTATCTAAAAATGAATTTGTGATACAAAGTGATGTGATTGAAGTGATATTTGAGAATTCTCTTTTTTATTTTATTTTTTAAATTCTTGTAAAAAATAAAAAAAAGAGTCAAAATTGAAAAATGATTTAGAAATATCTTTCTAGATATTGAAGATGACTTCATCAAAAAATATGTATTAGAAGATTGTAAGACACATTCTATTATAAATAAGGATATAAGTAAATAAATAAATAAATAAACATATTTATTGTTCATTTTGATGCCAAAAAGTACTTTCTTAAAAATATTATATTACTAAAATTGTATGATATTTTAAAATTATAACCACTTCTTTTCCATATAAAGTTCCATCAAAGTTATGGATTTAATGTCAAAAAAACATAATAGCATATATATTTATATATATACATATCTAGATGCATTATATATTTAAATAAATATATATGTATTAATTCATTAAATTATCATTTTTCTATTACTTTTTAATCTTTAATATAAAAGAAAAAAGAACCTTTGATGGGGTTTTTGTCTTAAAATGTTTCATCTTCTATAATTACATTGGAATAAAAATTATTATTGCTTGTGTTGGATTGTCAAAAGTTAATTCTCTACATGGTATGTAGTATTAAGAATATTTATAAGTACTCTATTTTTTGTTTGAATCTATTAACATTCAATTTAATTTTTGTTTTATTATCTTTAAGATAAAATCTTCTCAAACTCAAAATCTAGTCTATTAGTAGTCTCTCTTTTGATTTTTGTTGAGGTTTAGAAGGATAGAGATCTAAGTTACTTGCTTTATTTAAAATTAGTTTTGATGTTCTAATAGTTTTTTTAATGGTCTTGGTATTCCTATCATACTATATTTGGCAAACATTGTTACTAAGAACCTACTTGATATGATAAATTAAAGCTAAATATTAATTCTACATGCTAATTTTTAAAATTTTGTGAATAAAATATTTGATGCAAAAAACATCAATAATATCTATATTTAAATATTATAATAGAAGAAAAATATAGAAGTATATGTCTTTGGAGAATAGAAATATAATTATAATAAATTCTAATTTGATATTTGTAAAAAGATTAAAATGTCTTTGAAGTTTTTAAAATGAATCTAAATTTATGAAGTAAAATATAATGTGGTTTTATGAATATTCTTAAAATATACAAAAAATCTTAAATTTAAAGATACAAAATGATTTTTATTGGTAGATACAGATTTTTTAAAAAATCTCTATTATTCATGTTATTGATTATTTATTTTTTTAATTTACTTATTTTGCCAAATTTATAAGCATAAAAAACACCCTTGCAATTAAAAAAATTTTATACTTAAAAATATATTTTTTATTTTATTTTCATATTATAATGATTTTTTTAAAAAAAATAAAAAAATAAAAAATATTTACATGAGTTAATATAGAAAACTTAGCAGAAATATTCAATATATGTTATATGAGAATAAATTTTCTTTAAAGCTTCTTAAAGATCACAAGACTTATAGCCTAAGCATCATGTTATAGTTTGCTTCTAATGTGGCTTTTAAAAAGTAGAATTCTTTTTAAACAAATTTTTCTAGCCACATGACTTATCTATAGAAATATAAAGATTTAATCCATTTTAAGAAAAATTCTTGAATTTTTTTAAAGAAAGATATTAAATACTTAATAAACTCTACCTACCTCTATTTATTCCTATTTATTAAAAAAATAAAGGTATTTATTGGAGCTTTTATATTAAATTATACATTTTCCAAGTAACAAAGATAATATTATATACATTTTAGAAGTATAGATAAACTAAAAGGATTGAAAATAAAGAAACATCTTTTAAATAAATTTTTTCAAGCTAATATAATGTAATTTGATCTTTGTTGCATGGTTTATGTGTAAAGATTTATTTTATTCATTTTATAAATACATGTAAAAGTTTTTAATAAAATTATTTGGTATGAATTAAAAATGCATCTAGTTTGATTTGATATAATATGATTTTATTACATAAAAAGCTACTTAAACGAGAATTAAAAATAGATTATTTGGAATATATACTATTCTTAATATTGAAAAAAATTGTGGATAACCACAAAACAAGAATTACAAAACAAAAGAAAAAAAAGAAAAAAACTAGATTATAAAGGCACGAATTTATTCAATTTGAATACTAAAATTCTATATTATGAGGTTATAATACATTTTATACCATGTCTTTAGTAAATATAATATAATGATATAATCCGCTGTGTCTCCTTTTACTAAAATGTTAAGACTATAACAGCTTTTGCTGTCCTCTTTGTTCATTCAAATGAACAATTTCACAATATGAAAAGAAAATAAAGACATACAAATCATCTCCTTGGAATCACCTAATTGTGAACTTCCAATTGCCATGTTCAAACAAGAGATATATTTTTTAACATAAAATTAATGAAACTAAATAAAATAGAAACGCGTATTAAGAACGATTTGAAGTGTATTTTGACAGGCTGTGAAGGGATTATAAACAAGACATGAAGCCACCTAAAATCAATTTTACCTTGAAGTTATTTGCTCCGTCAGACCTCTAATATTGTGAAGTCATAATCTTTTGCAGCCGGAAGTTTTCTCATCGCAAGCTACTTGTAGCAAATGAAAGCGAAAGAATCAGGAAAAATAATCGAAACTAAACATAAAAGTAAAAAAACTAAACAAGCGCAATCCACCTCCATATAGCATGCTCTAAATCAGAACAATGGCGCCTGCAACATGCTCTCGTATGTAAACTACGTGATCAAAGAGTTGTTACAATCACCGCTAGCATTAATACCATAACCTTCTTGATTAGCACAAACCTTGTCCACAATCACCACTTTCCGCATTCTATATGAAAAACCTTAACTTGCAGAAGAATCAAATTTGTAACTTTTCAGATTTTCAAACATGAGCTACTGTTGCTCTCTTTCTTTGGAGCCATCTCTTCGTTGTTTCGCAATCTAGCAGCTCTGATCGCAACGATGAGCCTCGAAAGTTGGCTGTAGTAGAGGCTCTTTGCTGTTGGATCAACGCAAGTGCAGCTTTGGCGATGAGGCGAAGTGAAGTAAAGCGGTATCGATACAAACTGGAGATGTTGCAGCAACAGCCTATTCGCAGTCCCCTACACTCAAGGAAGCGATTTAACATCCAATGTATGTGCAGAATATTTAATCATCAAAGGGATGGTCAGAAGCCCAACGCATCGAGGCACGCTGTCTAGACGCCGCAACACTCAATATGTTTACGTTGAGCTTTTTGGTACTTAACATGCTTGCTACGGTACTTGCCGTTTGAAGGATCGTTTCAGAGGGAACATTAGACAGTGCTTAAAATTTTGTCAAATGACTGGTGGAGTGGAGTAACCATCCATCACGTCACAAGTCTGATTTGGAAGGATGCTAGTAGGAGCACTAGCGGAGAGTTTCTCTCTCTGTGTGGCAATCTCGTTCATTTCAATGTGTCCATATACAACAATCTGATCAGCTATCCATCCTGCAGTTCAGGGAGCGGTTTTGTATATTTACTTCTCTGCTCTTGTTACAGTAGACCTATTTCGTTGCAGTTATTGAGGTCTATACTGCAATTCCTACTTCAGAGATAAGTGGGTGTGTATAAGTGTTGCTTCAAACTATTTTCTTTGAACTCTAACTCTGGTTGTCAGGCTACTCTATTTACCCATGCACGAGTTTCAAGGACCTGAACACAGATTGCTGAATAAAGGACGCATTGTGCAATTAGCAAGGACTCGCTTGAAAGTAGACAATTGCATTGATAAAACCCAGGCATTGTGGTCGCCAGTCCATTTGAATTTTTTTTAATGGTTCCTCTATCATCAATGAAAGTCCTTGCATCTGGTAGTAAGCAAAACATCTATGTTACACCTGCACAACCTTTGCCAATTTCCAGATAGACACTTAGGTTTCTGAGAATATTGCAGAGCATTTGAAGCTAGAAGGTTTCAATGCTACCGCAATTGAACTTGTAGCTAAAAACCCGTTGCCGGCGCGATGGGAAAACCAGCTTGATTCTGTATCATGCTATTCGAAAAGAATACAACGTTTTTACAATAATAATGTTCTATTCTCGAACAAAGCCATTGCATATTTAACGATTTATGAGCTAGTGGAATCAAAAGGAAGGTATGTTGCAAGTGTTCTACTGCATTTCGGCAGATTCTCCTTGCACCCGTGTCTTATCTTGTCTTCCCATTTCTAGATCATTTTGTGGCGCATTTGTTGTCGCAATCGCTCGAGGGCCATGTAACCCATGACTGAAGATTTTTTGCGGTTCATACTCATATGGGTATCCAGCTGTTCAAAACCAACGAGCCACAACAAAACAATATCAACGCCAAATTTGAAATAGCTGCTAGACTTGAAACAACCTCTAATATTCATTCAGAACAAGCAGAGGCAGATTTTCAGTTACAAATAGATCCTGAAGACTTACCCCATGATCCCGCATTCATACTAGGGAAGTGTTGTCTGTAACAGAGGTACGCAATGGGCAGTCCTGCATAGTTCATAAAATAATGGTTTTCAGGATTAAACAAGTTCCATTAGTACTTGCAATACGTTTTCTGGCATTGAATCCACGAGAGACCGCTAATGTAGTCGTGACATCCGCCAACAGGATAAGACTAGAGCTACTGCTGCTAGACCTGGTGTACAATCAGTCTCTGTCACAACACTCCCCTTAGAGCGGAAGGAAATAAAGGAGCTTAAAGTTGATAGATAATGCCTCACCTAGCACAGACGCACCGATGATATCCACCCACCGATGTTTGTAATCGTTCACTCTGGAAACGGCAATCAACACCGTGGCTAATTGAGGAACCAGCACAAAAAACACTCTAGAGGAGTATCCCCTTCTGTCGAAGAGGCTCAGTTTTCCTGCCAAGTACAGAGACAAGTAACCAAGGCCAGCGAAGCACCCTGAAATACCATCCACAGTGGATTTTTCAGACGACAAAAACCATGGAAGACTGTAGATTCCAAAAGCTCCTTTAGCATACGCCAATTTAGAAGAAAACGGAACGAAATAATGTTTGCTGAGAACCCACACTAAGCCTACCAATTATTTCCTTTTAAGTGTAGAGAAATGAAGCTTCCGAGTTAAAACGGCCTGGAATGTCCATCAAATTAGTAGTTCACACACTCTCCAGATTTACATATATCCTCAAATTACATACCAAAGTGATACCATTCATACAACACCTAAATCAAAAGCATTAATTTCCTGCGGAGCGAAGTGTGATTGAGCTTGAATTTACAGGCGCGTACATGTCACATGGCCGCTGGGAAAACTTTTGAAGCCATCAACATACTCCTTCCTGTTCGTGGGATAACAGAGTGCTCGTCTATACTCATCGTTTGAGTATACCTGTAGCGTCCATTATCCCACATTTGTTTTGCATCAGGTCACACTCTTAACTCAACTCCAGAATCCCAGACAATCAAACATCTCTGAGGAAAGCATTCTTACCGCGATACCGTCTGGAAAGCATCGATCGAAAAAGTCAGGACGAGGCATTCCAACCATGTTCTTCATGGAGTCGGTGAATAGCGCAGTAACAGTGATTGACGTTGCAAGGCCTGTAAGAAAAAGAATCCATGAATATATTACATGGGCATATATCCATGAGAGAGGAAAATTAATCTTTGAGAACATGGATTATATTCAAACAGAACAAAAATGCTGCAAAATTTTTGCCATTTGAAGATTCAAGGAGCATTGTCGTGATAGATATATGCACATGGAAATTAGTGTAAATCATGTGACTATGCGCAGCTTCTGAACTCACTCGGGGCATATCAAAAAATACAAACTAAGGATCACCTTGTTAAAAACAAATATATAAACTAATATGAAAGTCTTCCTTCTTCGCACGAAATGAAGGATACAGCAGATAACATGGTTGTGATATTCACCCAAAAAAGCATTGTGAAAGTCTCTAACACTTCTCCTCTTGATGTAGTAAGCGAGGAAAATAAGGAGAGGAAACAGCACAGCAATAACCTGGTTGTGATATTCAATGGAGAAAATCCTTGTCAAGTGTTGCTCTGAAAGACCGACATCAGTGACCCAGTAGGTTCAAATGGTGTGGTCATCCTCATCCGCACATGAATATAGTGCACGATGCAGCAACACGCATCATCTCGAGGCAGGCATTTGTTTCAGCAAAAAAGGTGTGAGAACTCGTACCCCAATAGCCCACACGGGCACAGTGTCTGGACCTGTTGGGTACTTGTAGTCTTGCATCTTGTCTTCATTTACGAGTCGTTCAAATGGCGGAATGACGACGTAGACAATAATCTCCAGAACTATCATAACCCCAATCCACAACCAGTCTCGCAAATGGTGCTTTATTAACTGCAGAAGCCGCAATTTGTGGATCGGCCGCTCCACAGGCACCCTCGCTTCGTGATCATCCCAAACACTTCGCATGCCTACAAAAAGAAAGGAAACAATCATTCGACTGTCTAAGCCCCAAGCATATGTGGTTCAGAACAACATACTCACAGCATTGACAAACCCATACACTGCCGAGCGAAACATAGCGATTCACACCGACAGCCCGAGCACAGTGACATGAACATACTTACCGTTACTCATTTTCACCTCCTAAGGTCCAGAACTCAAGTCCGCCCACCTCGCTTCTGTGGCTGATCTGCACTCACATGAACAACGAGTCAAGGAGTCCACAGGGGCTCACAGCAAAGCTAGCACGAGAGCAGGTTCAGAAGACAGAGGACAAGATCGAACTAGCAATAAACATCAACAAGCAGGTCCACAACTCCAGAACCTCCACAAGAACCCACACAGACTTGTCCTCAACCCTCAAGCCACAGACCGAGTTTGTGAAAAAAAAAAAAAAAAAAAAAAAAAAAAAACGCTCTCTCACTACATTCGCTTGTTTTGAGAAGCTCAAGAGACATTCCCAGCCCGAGTCGAAACACAATGATCAGCAACGCTCAACGCAACCAATTCTCTCGCGCACCCCAAGGGACACGACCCACCTTGAGGAAAATATATATTTATATATATATTTATACACGCAAACTGGAGTGTCCGCGTAACAGAGAGATTAGCTAAAACCAGGGATTGAACCTTCTGCGCTCATTCAGCCACAGCACACGCGGTCATCACTTGCGGCTTCACGACGCGTCACAAAGCTTCCCGAAACACTACAACAACTAAACAAATATGTTAGAAATGGGATTATGAAAATCCTTTGCTGAGGCCCTCTCTCTCTTCATGGGACTTACTTGCTCACGATGTGTGATTAGTCCACACTGCTGCAGATCCACGAAAGCACAGAATCGACCTGTTGTGGTACTTCGATCGTCCTCGGAAGTACACTCTCCGTACCCCCGGTGTGGTCATCGTTTAGCCGCATCCATCGCCATACCACAACTGCACAAGTGTCCAGATGATACCCCGAATTTGTTTGTTTGTTTACTTATTTGTTTGTTTTTTAATTCGTCCGACTTGTCTCGCTAAAAGCAGCATTCGTATATACCATCTTCTTCCTGATCCATCGGGTCTGGACAAGTGCAATGGGTTTGGTTGTTTGTTTGTTTGTTTGTTTGTTTTCCCCGAAATGTGCAGATGCAGGTGGATCTGGGTATCCGAGACAGCGAGAGGAAGTTTCTGGGATTCGAAGGCTCGAGGAGTGCCGTTCACGAGTCAAGCTGATACTTCCCACTTGGCGTTGTGTCGGTGAATGAGAAGCCCACAAGTGCCGAGGTTGCGTGTGGGGTCGATTTATTTTTATTTATTTTTATTTATTATGTTATATGTTTTATGTATTATTTATTTTATTTTATTATTTTTTTTCGGAGGGAAGTGTGGGTGGATGGTAAAGTGGTGATATATCTGGTTCTGAGGAGAGGTACTGATGCCGTTCAGTCTCTGAATCTTTGCACCTCTGAGAGATGGCCATCGTAGGGTTGACATTTTTTCCTTTGTTTGTTTATTTATACGTTCTTTCTGGACAAATGGGGTGAATTCATTTATATATATATATATATATATATATATGAGAGGGTGTGTGAAGATTTATATATATATATATATATATATACATATATTTGTTTATTGATATAAAATAGTTCTAAACTTTAATACTCATTATTCCAGATGGAGCAAGAGTAGCGATTCAGAATACTATACTTTGGTTAAGTTTTAACTCTCTCAATGGGCATGTGTATATTCGGAGCATTTTGGGTAATGTCTGAATATCAAAAGAAGTTGCATTGCATTTTCGGTTTCTAACATTCTATTAGCAATCCACAAACTATCTCAATATATAGAAAATATGTATGTGCTTTTGGTTTTTTTAATTGAATTTCATTTTTTGTTCTTTATATATATAGGGGAATGTTAAAGTGACCAACTTTTTTGTTAAATCGACCCCTCGTTCCCAACCCTCATCCCGACCTCCTCCGTTCCCAAATCCAGCTTGCAGCCCTCGTCACCGTTACCAGCCCTGGTACCGACCCCGTTACGGTTTTGAGAGTCTGCTGTGAATTTGAAGAAGGGGTTGGAGAGGAGGGGAAGGTGTGCTAGAACTTAGAACGAAGATGATCGAGCAGATATGTCAATTGGCCCAAACTCATCGTCCAACGGCTCCACAGCCCTCAGTGCCTCGTTTGTGAACACCGACTGGGAATCTGACAAGCTCATCAAGCTGGAAGCTGATGTCTCCAGCTCTCCGTATTTCTCATCGCTAAACCCTAAACCCTGTGACATAAATGTGGTCGAACGAATTGGCCAAGACAATCAAAACGGAAGAAACGTGATGATGTCATTATTCTGGGTTTGTGTTATTGGAACTGCGCAACACAATCTTACCGGCATTCATATTCTTTATTATAAAGACCTCACTGTAACGATGGTTACCCAGTAGCAATCTCTGTCCGAGGGGACGGCCCAGGATAGTATTTCCACTAGATCTAGCAGTCTTCTTCAGGGACAATTCATCGTCATGTGCAGAGGGTACGAGCTCAAGTTGTGAATCCAGCTTACCTCCTGTGTTGCGCTGCTATTTCGATTCACCATGGCTAGCCTTGGGTACACTGCATGCTTCTTGGTGACTGGCATTAGTATCCTCCGCAGAGCCTGCGCAAGCTTCCCAAAAGGTACCCGAAACCAGGGAGGAAGTGATCGCTAGCTTCGCAAGCTGAGTTCAGAGAGCAGGAGAGAAGCATGCGGCCTGGGAGAGAGCTGCCAAGACCGCTACCACCGCTGACGAGTTTGCTAGCGAGGTCGGCAAAACCGTGATTGTAGTTGATCAGAGTGGAGCTGGTAACTTCAAGACTGTCAACGAAGCTTTGAATTCTATCCCGGAGCACAGCAAGTCACCGGTCACTATTAAAGTGAATGCCGGAACTTATAAGTGTGTGGCTCTGGCAGCAACTGAAATCTCCCAAACAATAATAGCGTTGGATTGCAGACATTCTCTAAATGTGTTAGTGTTTGTGCAAGAGGTGGACAAAATCGACCGGATGAGGTGATGAAGGGGCAAGCTTTGCAGGAAGTTCTGAAGGGTTCCAATCGAATGTTAGGAGAGAGATACATGCCATACTAGTTCGGTATCATCGAACGGGTTCCTAGGCTCCCTTGGCATTCAGACTTAAATATGTTAAATAAATCTATTCTTTTATTCTTTGCAAGCTTTTTTGATGAAACTTTAAAGATTAGTATGAAGTTATTTGTATCCTTGTTTATAAAAAGCTTGTATCCAATTAGATTGAAAAATCTCACAAATAATAAAATTATCTTAGAAATTTAAAATTTTAAAAATCAATTATTTTGGTTCAAGCTTCATCTATCCATGTTTATATTTTAAACTTTAGATTATAATTGTATTTTACATTAAAATTATATATGAAGTTCGGTCACAATATTTTAAAAATTACCAATAATATTAAATTACTATTATATATATATATATATATATATATATATATAATAAAATCCATATCTTGTAAGAAATTAGATGTTTGATCTTTATTTATAGAATGTAGATAGAAAACTAGATAGAATTATTATTACAAATTCTTCCAAGTGTATTGGTTATAATTTTTTCTTTGTTTTAGATTTGGAATAAAATTGTTGTACTACTTTGCTCCATCAATAATTTTGTACTATTCTATATAAATTTCTAAATTTTACAGTTATTTTCTTTATTTGATTTTAAAGACGATAATTAAAAAATAAAATAACACATAATATTTGCAACAGTAGTTCTATTAATTATATTTAGTCTTGTGAAATGCTAATAGTCTAATTTATTATTTAATATGGTTATAAAAGAAACTATTATGTTTATATATTTGTACAAAAATAGTACTTGATGTATTAAGAAGTTTACTATTTTTACATTGGATTTAATGATTTCTAATATAAATACCACATAAAAGTTTTGTAAGATATCTACAATGTTGGATATGACTTTATTTTTTTATTTTTGTATTTTTTTATGATTACAATAGAGTCACTTGTGTCTTAACTCAAAATTTGCTGTCCTACTGAGTTGGTTAATCATACGTCCTTTGCATTCATTTATTTGATGTTTTATATTAATAATATATGTCATTTTTTTTTTTCTAAAAAAATCAAGTTGTCTAGAATTAATTATTTAAAAAAGGTGCTTTTAGTGATGGCTAAATAAAATAAACCTGAGTAGTTCTATTGAGACTTAAAACATTTAAAAACATTTCTACACCAACCTTGTCATGACCAGTGCATTTGTCATTTTTTTTTAATGGTATTATGTAAATTTTCCACAAAAAAATATTTCAATAATTTTTTTCATAGTTTTTTTTGAAAAGTTTTCAGAATAGAGTACGATTTACTTATTTAGAATCATTAATGGTAATAGCTCTTAAATAATCTTTAATTTAATATATGTGGTGTATAATTTTTTAAAATAATTATAAATTAATAAAGTTGAAATATATCTACAATATTTTGAATGTAGATCAAAGTTCTAAATTACAATATTTAAAGGCTCAAAAATCTAAGATCTATAACAAAATAAAAATAATATTGTGGATTTTTAATAATCAAGAAATAATATTTTGCTTAAGAAAGAACATGAATTATGTAGATTGAGGATTAGAGAAGTATGAAATTTTTTAAAAATTAAGAAAAAATTATTTTTAATATATGTTTTTATTTATTTTCATTTTTATACTATGCATTCAAATCTAATGTAAAATAAGCCAATATGGATATTTCTAATAGGAGGTCTCTTTTATAAGTAACTAACATGCTATTTTTATCTTCTTTACTTTGTATAAAATATGAAATTATATGATTAAAAAAAAGGTAGAAGTATCAATGAAAAATTTCTATTGAAAGGATTAAAGAAAATGCTTTTAAGCAAAAGATTTAAAAGATGTGTGTAATTTTTTTAAAATAAAAAAAAATAATGTCTTAAAAGAAATTTAGTGTTATGGAGTCTAAAGAGAATTTAATTTCTTTGTTAAAATGTGGTTCATTAAATCAATTCAACATAGTTTTTTAAATGTCTAAAATTTCTTTATCTACAAGATCATAAGAATAAAACTTTACTAACTTTGAATATAGACTCTTGATTCTAATTAAATTTTGTTCTACAATTTTAGTCCAAAGAAGGATTAAAAATACATATAAGATAACATAAGCATAAATACAAATCTTCACTTGACTTTTTTTAGTCTAAATCAAACAATGTTTTTATGACATGATGTCAAGGACAAGAACTCGATGAAAAAACAATTCAGACAAGTGAACCTTCACTCAAAGAAAGGTAACAAAATATAAATAAACAAGTATGTATATTGAAAGAGAAACTGGAATGGCTATTGCCAAAAGACAAGAAAACTAGAGACCCTTGAAACTAGACTGGAAGCAAGAAAGGAGTTGACAAGAGTGAAGAAGCCTTCACTCTTGTCTCTATATATACTATCTAACTAGGGGCTACGTGGCGACATTCTATAGGACCTCCAATATGTGTTGACTTTGTAGGGCACATGCCTTGACTTACAAGGCAAGTTTTTCTACGTGTGGGCCACATAGTTAGCTTGATCTTCAAGCTAACAACATGTGTGGCACATGGCCAACTTGTTGACCACGTTTCTAATCCAAAAAGTCAATTAAAGACACCTATGAAGTCAAAGCAGCGTCTAGGAAGTTTCTAAGAAGCTTCCATATTAAATATTATAGAATTAACTTACTTTTAGTTACTTCTACCTATATCTATATGTAATTATTAGCTTACATTATTATGGCCGTGACATTACCCCCCCTTCTAGGGACGAGTTCCACGAGGAGCGGTCATCATATGTTGAGAAAATCTATGATGCGACGAATTGTATTTGCCACATACTCTAAACTCTGTTCTCTTCGAAGATGATTGATAGGACCTCTCAATCATCGGTAGTGTCCCATACCAGGGCAAGATGACCACCCAGTTATTTGATCATTGTTGAGGCCTTCATAACTTCCTTCGAATAGAATATTTGGAACACCATCAGGAGTTGTTCCTTCCTCTAGTAAAATCACCAAACATCGGGAGTCCCTTCCCAAATCGTGATACCAAACGCGTTGTATCTCACCATCTATTCGAGGAAGAATATGTCGTTCTTGAAGATCTTCATCTCGATTGCGTCGTCTTGAAGGTTGTGACAATCGTAATGTCTCGTCCGACAGGTCAGCAAATGAAGGCTCTTGAGTTGAATCCACTGGTTGTTGGTTCTCCATCTCTTGAGCGCCACTACTACAACGAAGCTACGAACAAGAATTGAAAGTAGAATGTTATCTTCCCTAGATGTTGTTTTTTTTATAAAGAAGGTTTTCATCTTGCTTTTGATGGATGTCGTCGATGAAAAGCCTCCACCGCCTTTGTTGCATTTGTAAGATTCTTTATTGACTCCCATGTGCGTTCACTAATACCATATCCGCGCCAATGGACAAGATATTTTAATTTATTTCGGCGTCGCCTTGAATCTAAGACTTCTTC